AAATTATAAAGGGTTCATGGGGGAGGGGGAGGGGGAAGAGGAAAATGAGGAGCTAATTCCAGGAACCCAAGAGGAAAGCGAATTTTGAGAATGATGAGGGCCACAAATGTATAAGTGTGCTTTACACAATTTATTTATGTATGGATTGTGATGAATTGTATGAGCCCCAATAAAATGATTAAAAAAAAAAAAAAGTTCAAGCTACACTGAAAGCATTAGCCAAAAACATGACTGCAAGAATCAATGGACTACCAATTGAAATGCTTCAACAAGCTGCTGAAGTACTGGAAGCTCTCATTCCTATATGCCAGGACATTTGAGAGACAACTACTGGCCAATTGACTAAAAGAGATCCATATTTGTAACCATTCCAAAGAAAGGTGACTCAACATAATGTACAAGTTATAGAACATTGTTAACATCACATGAAAGTAAAATTTGCTAAAGATCGTCCAACAGTGGTTGCAGCAATACATTGACAGGTTCAGGACAGATTCAGAAGAGGACATGGAACAAGGGAATTCATTGCTCTTAGAGGCACCATGGTTGAAAGCAAAGGCTACCAGAAAGATGTTTAATTGTGTTTTATTGATTATGCTAAGGCATTAGACTGTGCGGACCATAAACAAGCTGTGCACAGCCTTAAGTAGAGTGGGCATACCAGAACACTACACTGTGGTCATGGGGAACCTGTACATAAATCAAGAGGCGATTGCATGAACATAGCAAGGGACTACTGCATGGTTTAAAATAAAAAAGGTGTGCTTCAGGGTTGTAGCCTCTCACTTATTCAATTTATATCTTGAGCAAATCATCAGAGAAGCTGGCTTATATGAAGAATAATGTGGCATAAGGATTGGAGGAAGACTTATTAAAAACCACCAGGTTGTTCACGCACATGACACAACTTGCTTGCTTAAAATGATTAAGACTTAAAGCACTTGCTGATGAAGATCAAGGATTGCAGCCTTCCATATGGATTACAAGTTCATATTGAAAAAAAAAAATCCTCACAATTGGACCAGTAGGTAACATCATGATAAATTGAGAAAAGAATGAAGTTGTCAAGGATTTTGTCTTGCTTGGATCCACCGTCAATGCTCATGGCAGCAGCAGTCAAGAGATCAAAGATGCACTGCACTGGGTCAATCTGCTGCACAAGGCCTCTTGAGAGTGCTGAAAAGCAAAGCTGTTCCTTTGAGGACTGAGGTGGCCTGATCCAAGCCGTGGTATTTTCAGTCACCTCATATGCATATGAAAGTTGGACATTGAATAGGGAAGACCACAGAACAATCCGTACATTTGAAGCATGATGTTGGCAAAGAATATGAAAAAATGCCATAGGCTGCCAAAAACCAAACAAATCTGCCTCTGAAGTACATCCAGAAAGATCCTTGGAGGCAAGCATGGCAAGGCTTCGTGTCATGTACTTTGGACATGTTGTCAGTGAGACCATTCCCTGGAGAAGGACATCATATGTGGGGTACCAGCCCCCACAATTGAATGGGTCCAAGGGGCGGTTGTGTAACTGAGTGGTAAAATTAAATGGACATCAGACAAGATAAAGCATGTGATTGGTCACCTCCAAGGCCATTATGACTTTAGCAGCCAGATCCGCACAGAGAAAGAGAATATATTTCCAACCAAGGCTTATATACACTCAGTAGGCATGCATACCCCCTAATTACAGGTAATCACATGTGTAACAGGAAGGGGCTGTACAATAGGCATACGTGACAGGAAGGGGATGAGCTAGGGGTCTACACGCAATAGGAAGGGAGGCACTAGAGGCACACGTGACAGGTGGCATACATGTAACAAGACGGGCGGACTCTAGAATCAAGATGGCAGCCTAGTCGTGGTTGTCCTTGAGTTAGCTTGACCTTAGGTGTCTTGGGCTCTCCTTCAGGGGGACATTCTATTATCCGTATCAGAAGGGAGTGGGCTCTACCTAGGGTGGGACAGACTATAGGGTCTGATTGCTCTAGACGGCTGATAACCTTCAGACACATAACCTTTAAGTAGTTGGCCTCCAAGGTTAGTGAGCACTTTAGGTCTGGCATGTATTATGTGGGGACATCCTGGGGAATAACTCTTCTCTTTCCCACATTCATGCTAGGTCAACTGGAGGGGCAACGGTAAAGAGAAAGGCCCTTGACAAGATGGAATGACACCATGGCTGCAACAGTGGTCTGCCACATAAGAAAACTGGATGGTACAGGGCCGGGCAGTGTTTCATTGTCATGCTTAAGTTTGCTATGAATCAGAACCAACTCACTGGCACCTAAAACAACACGCCAAACCAACCAACTCACTGACATGAGTCAACGCTGACTGAGAGTAAACCTACAGGGTAGGGTAGAACTGTCCGATGAGTTTTCAAGGCTGTACTATTTGTGGGAGTAGAAAGCCCCTTCTGTCTCCTTTGGAGCAGCTGGTAGCTTCGAACTGTATAACTTGAGGATCACAGCCCAATGCTTAACTACTATGCCACGAGGGGGGGGGGGCTCTATCTTATAATATCAATATAATTATCTTGTGCCCCATGGGGATGATGTATGATGTTATCCAGTAAAATGATATCTCTAAAGTGGACCAAGGAATATATAAGCCATCGATAAATGAATGGATTTTGAGCTCACACTTAATCGTAATCCTAATCTATGAACAATCATTGATTTTGAGATGGCCCTACTCAATACTCTCCCACATGAAGAGATCACTGAAGACATGCGTGCTATAGTAAAGGGTGGGGAAGAAACTAGATAATGCACAGATCTCAGGAAGAATAATGTCTGGGGTCTTAAAGGCTTGTACTCAAACAAGCAGCCATCTAGGTGAGATGTCAGCTAAGTCCACATAGGAGATATACACCAGCCTGTGTGACCCATGAATTGTAAATAATAAAATCCATATCTAGAGGAGGAAATGCTTTTAGAGCTTAAACTGAACACCCAGTTTGCAGAAGGCTATGGATAACAATGGAAGCCCAAAGTCCATCAGCAGAGTCTCCACATAGATTAAGGCTCCAATTAATTCCTTCTGACCATAGTCCAGGGAAGTAAATAATCTTGCTATCAGACAGAGAGCAGTGTAATGTGAATTATGGCAGATGTAGTTTGGTTACAATGTAACACCTTATCATTTGATCTTCCTTTTGACCCATTTAAAATTTGTTCCACCTTTTAATGTTTTCTGCTTTCGTGTCTTCTGAAGTTTTCTTGGTTTTGTCATTGATGTTATCTTTGCTTTTGTTTTGTATGTTTTTCTGAAACCAAGTCCAGGCTAGGTAAATCTTTAGACGGTAACTACTAATTTCCATAGCAGGGGCAGCTGGGACTGGGGGATGAGGAGAGATGCAGAGCTAAAATAAATACAACAGAGAAAATGTTCTAAAATTGCTTGTGGTGATGATTGCATAACTCTTCTTAATATGGTTGGACTAAATTATATATTAATAAATAAAATAAAACTATGTTTTAAAAAGTTACAGTCTCAGGAACCTTCAGGGGCAGTTCTGTTCTGTCTTAGAGTAAGGTGATCAGATTTTAACATTGGTAAAGCGGGACACCATTGATAAAACTCATATCCTGGCGAAATAGCCACATGGCAGCCGAAAACCGTATACCCTAGCTTGTCATGCATTCTTTCCAAAAATTGGAACTTTTTAAAAAAGCCGCGGGACGCGGGACAAATTGTTCAAAATCGGGACTGTCCCGCCAAAAGCAGGACGTCTGGTCACCTTACTTAGAGGGTCACTTTTTTGTTGGAATAGACTTGATGGAGTGAGAATTATTCAGCCATAAAGAGAAATAAAATGTGATACATGTTGCCACAAAAACAAATATTGTAAGATCCTACGTAAATGAAATATGTACACTAAGAAAAGGTATAGAGACAAAATCTAGGGGCTGGGGGAAAGGAGGAAGTTATTGCTCAAAGGAGACTGCAGAGTTTCTGTGTGAGGTGAAGTAAAACTAGCCATTTTATCATTGGATTATATATAGAAAGCTTGTTGAAGTGGTTAATGTCATACCTATGTAATTGCCACATACACACTCTCAAATTCGGAAAGGCTAACTCGACCCTACCCTACAGGGTCTCAGAGTTGGCTTTGACTCGTCGTCAGTGAGTTTGACTTGAGTAGTGATAGTAGCACAACATGGCGAATGTAATTCATAATTTCAATGAACCACAAAATTAAAAGAGCCGGCTTTTGGGGATATATTTCACTACAATAAATTTTTACAAAACAGAAAGGGAAGGAGCGGTTGAATTTGGAGCCAGGAGACCACTATTTTAATTTTTTTTTTGGGGGGGGGGTGTTCACCGGCTAGTCCCCAGCCCCTGCAAGGACGATCTACGCAAAGAGCTTGAATATGAATGAACCGAAGGCTCCCAGCCACGGTCCACCGCTCCGCGACTCGCCAAAGGCCTCGTTTCTGCGCAAACTCGGAAGCAGCTGTTTCCGCTCCGTCCGGAGAAACGGCCTCGCCTTCTCCGGAGGGAGCCTCGCTAAGGGCGTCACCAAGCGAACCCCGGAAACGTCAAGAACCCCAGCCTGTCCCCACGTGCCCCCTCACAGCCCCAAACGGCCGCGCGCCGCGGGCATTCGGGGCGCCCCTCCGGTCTCCACCACCGAGGGGCAGCCGAGGCTTCGCGGCGAACCACACGCCCCAGAATCCCGAGCGGCACAACCACCTGCCCTCGGGGTGGGAGGGTGGGTAGAGCAGGTCACCCCAGGCGCAGAGCCACCTGAGTGAGGGGTCCTGCCTGTGCCCTTTAGTAGAGCTCACTTTAAGAGATGTTCTCGGCTTGCCTAGTCAGTAGGTCACCTGTCCCCGTTGGGTACCATCCTACCTTCTGCGCTTCCTGGGGACCCCTCAGTACAAATCGGAAGATGGTCTAGTCCTGCGGTGACGCTAGCGGCGTCGGTGAAGTTCACGGGCTCAAGGCTTGATTGCCCACGCATGCGCAGAAGCACAGCATGGGGTGCGAGCCGCTGAACCCCTTCGCAGGGGCTGTAGAGGTGAGTAGGGCGGGGCGTCTCCTCGTCACCTCTGTCTACGCTCGGTCACCACCATCCCAATCGTCAAAAAGCTTGACCCTAATTGTGTAGAACACTGGGATCCTGGGAGCTCATTCTTGTTTGCATATCAAATCCCCACTTCTAGTTAAACCATCTCCATGGTTTATTGCCATTGCCTACTTACAAATTTTTTTGGGGGGTTGCATAAAAGAAGAAAATTCAGAATAATTGTAATCAAAATGTAAGGTAATGTGTTCATACTATAGTTAGCCAGGGAACACGTGAGATGGTTTAATCCCATTCAGTATTGCATTCAACATACACACACACAATAAATATATGTATGTGTAATGAGATTATTGATATCCTGTTTGCAGTGATAGCTCAAACAACAAAGATTGTGAGGGTGAGGCTGGGTTGGGGACAGTGTTTTGTTCTGTTGTTTGCTATGTGTTAGAACTGACAGATGGCACCTAAGAACAACAGTGACATATATTTGAGTACCCACATATACCAGGGGCTTCAAAAAGTTCGTTGGACCATTCCATTATCTTTTTATTCCATGTTCTACCAACTCGTTGAAGCACCCTCATACTGTAGGGCGTTACATCAGTGATCAAAGCAACCATGGTCTCAGCCTTCACAAAGTTTAGAATCTGTTGGGGACACAAGACAGCTGAGCAAATATCCTTACTGTGCTCCAACCCAGTCATTTACTTAGGCTTTGTTCTGTGAGATGCTGTGCTGCAACCTTCCCGGGGGACATTTTCTCACAAAACAAGAAGATTGGATTAGATGACCTTCTAGATTGGATTAGAACTTCCCAGCTCTAAAATTCTGTGGTGAGTGAGGGGTAGAATCCAGATTCGATCACAATGTGTTCATGTTTAACATCATCAAATTCCATTTTTCTGCACACATCAGCAGAAGAGACTATAGAGATGAGAATTTTGGCAGCAGGATTCGAAATAATTACCCCTTATTATTCTTGTTATGAGGAGCCCTGGCGGTGTAGTGGTTTGGGCTGCAAACCTCAGAGTCAGCAGTTTGAAACCACCAGCTGCTCCACGCGAGGAAAGTGAGGCTTTCTACTCCCGTAAAGAGGTACAGCCTCAGAAACCCACAGGGGCAGTTCTAATTGATTCAATGGGAGTGAGGGGATTTTTGGTCAGGAGCCCAGGTCGTATAGTGGATTATGCTTTAGGCTGCTAATAACAAGGACTGTAGTTCGAACCACTAGCTGCACTGCAGGAGAAAGATGAGCTTTTCTCTTAGATTTATAGCCTTTGAAACCCACAGGGGCAGTTCAGATCTGTCTTGTAGGGTTTATGTGAGTCAAAATCGACTTGATGGCTGTGAGTCTGGTTTTGCAGATTATACTTATCATTTCATATGCTATCTTTTTCCCTATTGCTGAACATATGAAACTAACTTATAATGCAGTTTTGTTCAACCTCTATTTATTGTTGTTTTATAGATCATTGCTAGGAAGAACTCTGGGTACAATAATGAACTCGATGTACTTGGTGACGGCTCCCATCTTAAGATCTCACCTAATAAATACTTCAGTGATACCTAGCCAAATGGAAACGCTTTCATACCTTGGCGTCGCTAGCTATAGAATGATGTCAACCTATAAATCCCCAAAGAAGATGAGAGAATATTATCGGCTACTGAATCTTGATGAAGATTGCTCTGCAGACGATGTCAGAGAAGCTTTTCGTAAGCTTGCCAAGCAATACCATCCGGATAGTGGCTCTGGTACAGCTGATGCTGCAACCTTTATACGGATTGAAGAAGCCTATAGGAATGTGCTTTTACATGTGGTAAAGCAAGCAAAGGTCAGACAGAAGAAAGCTGACGACACGGAAGAAGAAGATAAATTCAAATATAAAACACCCCAACACAGACATTATTTAAGTTTTGAGGGCATTGGTTTGGGGACTCCCAGCCAACGAGAGAAGCAATATAGGCAATTTAGAGCAGACCGTGCAACTGAACAAGTGATGGATTATCAAAAGCACAAGCTGTACAGCCAGTATTTTCCAGATAGTCTCATTATTAAAGACGTAAGAGAAAGTAAAAAGCAAAAGATAACGCAAGCAATCGAACGCTTAGTTGAGGATCTCATTCAGGAGTCGATGGCAAAAGGAGACTTTGACAACCTCAGCGGGAAAGGAAAACCTCTGAAGAAATTTTCTGGTTGTTCATACATTGATCCCATGACTCATAACTTGAACAGAATATTGATCGATAATGGGTATCAACCAGAATGGATCCTAATGCAAAAGGAAATAAAGGACTCTATTGAACAACTCCGAGAGGCAATTTTAGCATCAAGAAAAAAACTTGGGAATCCGATGACACCAAATGAACAGAAACAGTGGGACCAAGTATGTGAGCAATTTCAAGAAAACGTCAGAAAACTGAACAAGCGAATTGATGATTTTAATTTAATTGTTCCCCTCCTGACCAGGCAGAAAGTCCATTTTAATGTACAGAAAGAAATTATCAGGACTCAGAAAATATATGAGACCCTTACAGAAGCCAAAGAAGCCACAGTTAACTTAAGTCTCATTGGCCAGGGAGAAGAGAAAGCACCTGAAGTCAAGACAAGTGGTTTTAAGTGGATGAATTTATGGAGATTTATTAAAATATGACCATTTCAATGTTCACCATCATAGTCCTGCCCCAGGTCACTTTCACTTGCACTAACATCAAATACAGAGTTTATGATCTAAGAATTGAGAGTCTTTGTACTTTATGTTAAAGAATCACATACCTGTGATGTGTGAGAAAGCTGTCAGAATCAGAAAAAAATTTTCACCCACAGCTTTGCTCAGAGAGAGAGAGAAGAGAGAAAAGAGGGTTCTTACATCTAAATGAAATCATTTCAGAGTTTAAATATTGTCAGGTAAAATGAGCTAGGATGGGTACTCAGTCTTGAGATACATACAAGGTACACCAAAATTCATATGACAACTGTTACTCTTCACCGTCTTCAAACACAGGTACTTAAAAACCAAACACACAAGCAAAGTAAATAATAAATATTATTATCCTAAATCACAAAAGTAAAGAAGTATAATGACACCGATTCAACTAAACTTCTAATTGAAGTATAGTTTTTCTAAGTTTACAGTATTTATGCTTCTGAGGTTATTAAAGCTTAAACTGTACTAAGTTTTGGGGACACCTATGTGAGTGGAAATTTAATACCAGGAAAATAGACTAATGGAGTTAGTGAACTCTTTTTTCTATATGCCCTTTTTAGTAGGTACTGGATGACAAAAACTTTGCAGCAGCTGGGTGGTTGTCTTGTCTCAGTTGGTGATTCATTGGCTGTAGAATTGATCAATTTAGTTGATTTAGCTAATCTAGAAATATACTCTATTGTCATTCTTGGAAAGTTTGAATAGATTTTCTGACCATTCAGAGGTTAAAAAAAAGTCCCTGGGTTCAATGGAAATTTAGGATTTCACTTCAAGCTTCATCTTTAATTGGAGATTGAAATATTAAGTATCCATAAATCTACCTTAAGCCTCTTTATATCGAGTATCAGACTTCTGAGAGGTGTTTTCAACCATATGAAAATACCTATTTCCTGTCTTGGGAATCCTTCAATGAAGATATTTAAAATTTTTGCCAGTTTATACCTTTGGCAAATGACAATATGTTAATTATTATGAGATTGTTGTTTTCATTTTCAGAATACCTGACATTTCAGGATTGTGTAACTGTTTTCTCCACCAAGAATTGGGCAAATGGAAGGATGTGAAGGGTGCTTGAATGGTCTACATTTAATCCAGAATGCTGTTAGAGATGTGGTTCAAGAGAAGCCTGGCTCCTGCCACTCTGGTTTTAGAAGAATAAGTTACTTTGTGAAGGTTGCAATTGTTAAAACAATTAATAAAACTTCATCTTCAAAAGGATATTTTGCACCATTCTGTTAAGATGATTGAATAGTTAGTTATTTGATTGAATGAGTCATTTGCTGCTATAATGATAGTATTACTATAAATACAATTTTGAATAGAATGCAATAGAGTTTTATACCTATGGTTTCAAAACTTTTTAGATGACTGATTCTGTGAGTCCTCTTAAAAATGGAAATTAGGTGTAGCCTGGGAGCCATGGTGGTGTAATGGTACCTCATTGGGCTGCTAAGCAAGAAACCATGAGCCTTTCCGCTGGGGAAATATGAAACTTTCTACTCCTGTAAAGAGTTGCAGTCTTGGAAACTCACAGAGGCAGTTCAACTCTGCCTATAGGGTTGCCAGGAATTGGCATCAACTCCATGGTAATGAGTTTGGTTTTGAAGGCTTAGCATACCTAACTGCATTGCAGCCAAACTATTTTTAGTATTAGATAATAGGAAAGGTAAGGTTACCAGAAACTTTCAGTACATTCTTAATTTCAGTATAGCATATTTTGTTTGAAAATGTGTCTATATCAATAAAGATATTTTGATTATTACTCATTGTTCCATCATTGTATAAACAACTAATATTAATAACAGTAACCATATTTTTTTGCTTGGCCACCTAAAAATTGCTTGTTTTTTTAAAAAATTTTAAATCATTTTATTGGGGGCTCATATAATTCTTATAACAATCCATACATACATCCATTGTGTCAAGCACATTTGTACATTTGTTGCCCTCATCATTCTCAAAACATTTGCTTTCTACTCTAGCCCCTAATATCACTTGCTCATTTTCCACCTCCCTCCCCACTCTCCCCTCCCCCTCCCTCATGAACCCTTGATAATTTATAAATTATTATTATTTTTGTCATATCTTACACTGTCTGATGTCTCGCTTCACCCACTTTTCTCTTGTCCATCCCCCAGGGAGGAGCTCATATGTAGATCCTTGTAATCAGTTCAAAATTGTTTTTTATATCTGTGACTGGTGATATCAAAATTGTTACATAGATTCTTCTTGGTTTTTTGTTTTTTAGATTCTTCTTGTTAACACTTGACTAATTCATTCATATAAAACAGAACCACTTATTTAAGAGGTAAAATTCCAGGCTAGAAAAAGGATTTTTCTCTTCAGTCTTTCACAGTTTGTTGAAGTGAGGTTTGACATATACTTCTCTTACAAACATCACTGGCCTTTTTATATAGTCTTTCACCTTCTAAATTTGTCATGTTAGCTTTTCCAGGGTTAAAGAAAAAGGGCAAACTTGACTAGTTTCCATCTAGTCTGTTCTGCTTCATGACAACTCCATATGTTACAGAGTAGAACTGCACTATAGGGTTTTATATGATACACATATATAATATGTTTATTGATAATATGCACAGAAAGACCTCTTACATTCCCCATTTTCAGACTTAATTATCAGTGACATTGGTTACATTCTTCAAGTTGTGTCAATAAACTCTTATTTCAGTTACTTCCATTTACTTAGGCTCCTTGCCTCTTCCCCCAACCTTCTCATCTATGCTTTAAACTATATGACCCTTTGGTCATACATAGACATTTTTCTTTCTTTAAACGTAATAGTCAAGGGTGATAGTCTTTACTCTTCGGCCTAAAACAGTGGTTCTCAACATTCCTAATGCCGCGACCCTTTAATACAGTTCCTTATGTTGTTGTGACCCCCAGCCATAACATTATTTTTGTTGCTACTTCATAACTGTAATTTTGCTACTGTTAGGAATTGGGTGACCCCTGTGAAAGGATCATTCGACCCCCAGAGGGATCGCAACCCACAGGTTGAAAACCGCCGGCCTAAAGTGTCACTTAGATGGTGACAGGTTTCAGGGGGTAGTTTCACCTCGAGGTTTGAGGGGCAATTCAGGACCATATTCTCAGGGGCACCTTCAGCCTCAGGTAGCCCAGTAAATCTGGATTCGTTAAAAATTTGAAGTTCTGTTCCAAGTTTTCTGCCTTTTAATCAGGATTCATCTGTTGTGTCCCTGAGGAGAATTTTCAGTAGTCGTAGCTGGACTACTTCTTCTAGTCTCCAGGAGGAGGAGGGAGTGATTGTTTGGAGATAATAAACCTGGTACTCTAGTCCTTTCTTTGATTCTTGGGTTTTCATAACTTTTTTCTTTACGGAAATGAATGCTGGACTTTTCTTTCATAGTGCCAGAGAGTAGATTTTATTTTATTTTTTAATCATTTTATTAGGGGCTCATACAACTCATCACAATCCATACACACATCAATTGTGTAAAGCGTACTTGTACATTCATTGTCCTCATAATTCTCAAAACATTTCCTCTCCACTTAAACCCCCGGCAT